GAGTCCCGTTGTGGAGGGTCTCTCCCTCCCTCTCTCCCTCTCTCCCTCTCTTTGATTTTGGGAAAAAAGAACTCGGCGTAGCTAACATCGCGCAGGTTAGGAGTTACACTGATTCCCCTATGTCATCCGCACTGCCCACAGCCCTTTTAGAGGTGAGAACAGCTACTCAGGAGGCTGAGGCAGGAAGATGCACCCAACCAGCCTGGGCTTTATAGTGAGTTCCAGGCCAGCCAGAACTGCATAGCGAGAGCCTGTCTCAAAAGGCCTAAATAAATAAATAAAGAGGTGAAAGCAGCCAGATGGGATGTCATGGGCCTGTAGTTCTGTCTACTCCACAGGCCGAGGCAGGAGGATCTTGAGTAGGAGCGCAGCCTTTGCGAAGCAACTGAGCAAAACCATGCAAAAAAAAAAAAAAAAAAAAAAAAAAAAGCTGGGTGCGCTCCCTAAAGAGCGCTTTGCCAGCGCCAGCAGGAGGTCCCGGCCTGGGGCTCCCACAGGCTGAGAAGGATCATAATGGTGTTGGGCCTGTTACTGTGTGAGCAAGCGGAGGGAGGCTCAGAGGGGACCTCAGACTTTGTTACAATCACAGCCCTGGGCTGATCCAGGAGCTCTGGGTCCCCAACCCCAGGGCGGAGAGTGACCCCCTCAACTCCCCCACCCGGGGCCTCCCAGGCTGGGCAGGGGCTGGAGGCTCAGAAGAGACACATTAGCCCCTCTGCACCCCTCCTGCGTGCAGCCAGCCTCGCCACTCGTTTTTGCCAGAGAGAAACTGAGGCTAAGAGCAGAGCCTGGGCGCTGCCCCCCAGCGGGGTCCTCTCTGGCCGTAGAGCACGAGCTTTGTCCTCCCGGCACCGTGTCTGTCCGCCTGTCCCCAGCCTCCTCCCGCAGCCTTGCCCTGTGACCCCCCCAGAGCACCCTGTTCCATCCACCCGGCCAAGGCCTGAGGTCAGAGCTGCCTGGGGTGCAGCCAAGGCCGCAGCTGGGCTGGGGGACAGGAGCTCTGGCCTCCAGCGCCGGGCCAAGGCCTCTCCAGCTGTGCCTCCTCCCCCAGCTGCCCTGGGGACCTCACAGGGCACCCCCAAAGATATCCAAGCCATTTCTCCCAGCCACCCTGCAACCCAAGTCCAGCCACAACACATCACTGTTGTTGAACTCTTTTATTCACTCAACAAACACCCTGAGCCCACTCTGTGCCCCCTCATGCTCAGGCCTCAGCCCAGCCCCCAAGGAGTCCCCACATCGGGGGGACAGAACTGGACACAAACACTGCCCCACCCCTAGGGTCAGGGCTGGGTGGGAGGCACAGCAGGCATAGAGGCACACAAGGGAAAACAGCAAGGACACAACAGCTGGGGCTTTGAGGGATGCATAAGAGCCTTCCAGGTTGCTAGTGAGGTCATTGCCCCATGAGGCGTCTTTGTGAGGCCCAAAGTCACACCTCTGGGGCCACAGACAATGCAGAGACTGCACCCAGCAAGCGGGCCATAGGGGACCAGGGCCCATCCACCCACTACCCCCGTCTTCCTCTCCACAGAGCCTCCAACTGGGGGCCCAGGGCACCGAAGGTCGGCCTGTCCTGTGGGCTGGGCGCCCAGCACTGGGTCATGAGCTCGTGGACCTGGGGGCAGGAAACAGCAGGTCAGGCCTGAGCAGTGAAGCCCAGCCCTCGGGCTCCAAAAGCTCCCATGGCTCCCTAGGACCCTGCTAATGCACCAGGATCCCTGCCCCAGCTCTACCTGAGGGTGGACTCCAGCCCCCCCTGCAGCCTCTCCC